CTTGTTTATTCGAACCAGTATCCTTGTCGTTGGAGGCTACAATCCCTGTCGTGACCTAGACGTTTCCTGGTTGACAGAAGACTGGAGCAACACGATCAGAAGTAATAATATACGAGGTACTGACGTTACTTGTAGACTTTTTCAGTGTACTGATAGTCACCAACTTTGAACTACGTGGTCGATCTGCTGCTGCTATACTGGCTAGGACTTGACTGATCAATTAACCTTCGACTTACCATCCATCTTTTAATACTACTTGTGAGTTGGTTTTTACATACGTAAAATAGTATTCTGAAATCCAGAGAGTCATCTTCTGGCCACAGAAAAATTTCCGATACTGTTATTGGCAGAAGTGCAGCAAATGTAACGCAGTTCGAGGGTAACACTTGACAAAGATGAAACTTGTTGTAACTTGGGGGTTTCAAAAAGTATTTATAATTTCTGCAAAGTAAACAGATGCTTTGGACGTATTATCATTTGCCAATTCTCTAAGAAATAACTTGTTGCTACAAGGAATTGGTCGCACGACAACAGACTTATGCTTACATTTGCGCCTCTTGGTGTAAGTTTCAAAAGTCTTTCCTGTGGTCTACTGGAGATTGGTTGTCTTTCATTACATTTTATGCGTGCATTACATTTTATAACATTTTAGCCCAATGTAGTCAAAGATTGTGAAACTAAGTCCAGTTTTTTTCTCATTGGCACCAGGAGTCCCAGGGCGGTTTCGAATACGGCTCCAGCAACTGAACATTGAGCATCATTTTTGATTGACGGTTGGATATTAAGCATTACCATTAGTAAGGATTCCATCCAGTGAGAGGAGGGAGGGGCAAAGTGAAGTGTTAATGCACCCTTTAGCTGTCTTTGAAGGTATCCTATCACCCTATTGACTCGATGATAATGAACTGTTCGGTGAACTCTGTTCGACCGCAGTCTTTAAATTATTATAGCTGAAGCATTTGCTTCATAGTGCGACAAGAGAAGAAAAGTGATAAATGTAAATGTTACCACCCCCCTTCATTTGCCCAGCATACTGGAAAACTGTAATACCAAATCAAACAGTTGAATTTCACGTGGTTTGTAGCAGTCCATTTCCGCGTTGAGAGCATAATTAAGAGTCTTGAAATCAATTTAGTTAGGATGCTTGAGCAACTTTGATGGCTTAACAAGAAGTAACACTCAATTTTGTTGTATGGCAATTCATACTGCCAGACCTGAGCTTCAAACACAATTTGACACATCTAACCTGGTGGATTGGTTGCTAATAACACCACCTAAACTAAAGGAATTATTTATTAACGATGATATGTAGACAACGCACAACCATGCTCTAGCTCCTTAAAAATACAATTATCCGCAATCTGATACAGCCAGCAAAGATAAGCAAATTGACTGCTGAAAGTGAAGTGGCTGAGATTTAGTTGAATCGCTTAACTTCTTTGAACCCCACAAGATTATAATCTGTGTAGTTCGTGGACGGTCTGCCTTCTACCACCGGCGGAAAATGTTTAACAGCCATGTGAACTGCTAAGAATTATCCGCCATAGATAGAAAACCTTGTTTCTTGGGGATTATGGCATTTGGGAAAAAATGGCAAGTAGGTGGCACAAGTGTGCCCCTGTGACTTCATTAGTTACAACTACCACTAGTACGATAGATGCATTTGTATCCGGTCGTGGCTTTCGCGAGCACAGCATTCAGTCTTGAAGTTGCATCGACTGCCCACTATGACAGTTAAAAGTTTCTTGGTCTTCCTCCTAGTGCATCAGTCATAGACTCTACAGACAGTGAACAACTAGGTTTAAAACGTAGATAGACGTGGGTCAACCTCACGAAACTTTGAGGTTGAGATGCTGGAGGATACTGCTCGCAGTTATCCCTTACCTTATCTCAGAATTAAACAGTATGTCTTAGTAACCCAGTTATCGCTGCCCCAAAAACCCACTCTGACTAATCGTCATGAAATTGTATTCCATTTTTCGGAAATCATTTTCATTTGTATCAATTTCCTGGCTATCGATGAGTAGGCTATCCATGTAGGCTTTGGAGAAAGGTAGTTCTTTCAATAAGTAATGCTTATCTCGTTGAAAGGTTTATGCAAAGTTCCAGATGTCAAATTTCATCCTCGCGAGCTCATATAACTCCAAAATTACAGTTTATTTAAAGACCGAATTCATTCGATTACCATCATGACGCAAGAAAGTAATCTCTAAATTTCAGCGCACAGCCGACAGAACTTTGCTGAGAAAAGCGCTATCATGAAACGTTCCGAAGGTAAGAAAAAGCAGATTATTCTCCAATCTTTTAGCAGTTCTCTAGAACAATAACAGCGTAAAATTCAAAATTACTTCAAAGGCGCAGTGGCCAGCTGTACAGTTAGTGTATGTTTCTAAATACTAAACAAGTAATGTAGGACAAAATTAGTCAACCAAATTTCAGCTGTAAAAGGGTCTTCGGAATCGAAGAGAATATTCCCAACTACGTGAGATCAATAGCTCTGTCTACAAGGGTCACGCACCAAAGCTTCATGAGTCAGAATGACCTCATATCATTAAACAACCTAGTGTCAATGTGCACACAACCACAAGTAGCAGTATTAAGATTAAAGGTTAAACAAGGAAGGAGGATAATAATAAAAATCAGAAGTCAACATGTGGTATATATATGTCAAATTAATGATAAACAGTCTAGGAGAAAAGCGTATACTTATTCCGGAGTCAGTTGAGATGTCTAAACAAGTACAAATACTATAAATGGATCGTCCAGGAGAATTTTCTAGACATTTCGTCCATTACGGTAACGTTTCACTTAGGTATGTCTTCCTCAGTCACCAGAATATTGCTATAGGTTTGATATATAATGAGGACTTTAGGGAATCTGTCTCCTTATTCAGAGAGCGAGGTTAGTGTTATAGACAAAATCACAGTAACCCTGAAAATCACGTAAAAAAACATTGCAAACATGATATCACGACAGGTAATTATCTCAAATGTTTTCTTAGAATATCTCATTGTTACTCGAAGAATAATCTAAAGAGCACTCATACCATGGTCCATAAGTCAGCAGCCCTTTAAATTCAGTTTACACTCCTAAATCTGTTCTTTGACTCATCGATAAAGTTAATACGAACCATAATCCTGACATTAAACCTTAACTCCAAACCTTAAAATCAGCAAAAAAAAGTACACAAGGAATTAACAGAATACTGTACCTATCATCAGGAGCTGATTTTTCCTCATAAATTGGTTTGACTTGGAATGGCCTTCAATGACGCTCACTGAATCTCATTGGCTTCTGAAGGTCAACATTTAACGGACCATAACTTTAGTCATAATACTTCAACCCTGCCTAGGCTTGGGAGTTTGAGGATGGTTGACGCTAGGCATGTAAATTCAACTAACATTGTCCGGAACCTTTCATTTGATTCTGACGAAGACTGAACGAGATTTAAGAAAAGGTGATGACTGTCTTGAAGTCCGTATAAATGGTCTTTTCCTTCCTTGGTAGTGGCCTTTTCCGTGTATTCACTAGTGAACTATGCCTTAATATGTCAAAGCCGAGGATTGAGAGATGTATTTCAGTGATAGTGAAAATCCAGTGAGGCTGTAACACCTCTGTTTACTAGTCGAAAGCCTTGATCTAATTCATATCGGCAGCCAGCAACGCTATGGAGGACTTTTACTGTCCCGACTGGAACCTAGTTTTTAGTGTGGTACTGGTTGTAGCTTCTGTATCAACAGAGTAGTCTATGATGGTGTGAAGTAGGCAAATGTCTAGGCTCCCCTTCTCAGCAATCGCTCCTCGGCGCATGACCTTGTTTATTTGTTTGATTATGCGCCTAACCACCAGAAACGTCCTGCTGATCTGCTTGATACGGGAGTGCTTATCCTTCTATACGATTTATCTCAATTGCTATGCGTTATTTGGTTTTCATCAAGTTTTTCCTCTAGTGATTGAATGTTGGTCGCGAAATCCAAGATTATTGGCCCGTTACCCATAATCGTATAGTTCATTGTCAGGCATCCTCTCTGTATCATTCATACCGTTATGCATGCTAACTTCCCAAGGGTGGATTCAAATTCCTGAGTATCTAATGCATATTTCACACACACTGACTGGATTTTGAGAACGAGTCCGAAATGGTTACTGGAACCACCTGGCTCAGCATGCACTCAAGGAAGAAATGGCGATTAAGACCGAACGTTTATCTTTTAAGGCATGTCGGTGTGCAAGTTAAGCGGGATAACAAGTCACAAAAACTGAAGTGCACTCACCGTTCAACGGAGCAAGAGAAACTCACAATCCTTAAGGAAGATATTTCATTATTTATAAATTTTACTTTATTTGGTTAAGTTATGAGTTGAACAAAGTATTTCAGTCTTGGGTTCTGAAGTGTCAGTTGCAGTGGTGTTTATTTTTATAAGGGTTTAGGTTTCCCAGCCTCACCTCTGTTTACCCGGTTCATTACTGGCTGAGCGAAGTTAAGGAGTGCGTTGGCCAAACGTCAGTCGTGGTTAATGGCATACGGACAGCCAGCATTTGTCTCAATGATGACTCGTATATCCTAGAATGTGCCAAGTAGAAGGTCACATGGATGATTCCTACTATAACCAATTAGTTATACGAGGAATGATATTTCGGTTTAAAACTCTTGCCATTAGACAGAGAGTAAATCACATCACGATTTTCAAAATTCAAAGAAATGTCTGTAGACATAATCTATCTCCTTTTCTTCTTACCAGGTAGAAACATCTTGCACAACATAACAGAAGCTTAGGAGGGACTGTGTTGTCGTGGGGTATTGGTTCTCCCACCAAGTCATCAACTCTCTGAATCTATTATCAGAAATTTTTTATGAGCGCTCAGTCAACTCATTCAAGGAGGCACTAGGAAAGCATAGATACTTGTAACCTAAGACATTAGTACAGGCGTGAAGCCTTCTATCCATGAACAAAATTTTGACTTGATGTTTCTCCACAGGTGCGTTTACAGGTTGCAAACTGCTACCAGAAAACATAGTGAAAAATCATAAACCTTCTTCAGCATTAGCGTTTAGACTTATGATCAAGTCGTGGTGAAATTTCAATATTAGACAACGTGTTTTTATTTATAGTTTCTACAAATATTTGACCTTGACTTGCTAGCCTAGTTTTCGTAACCACAACGTTTTACCGTCTGGACATCACTCTTCGTTTCACTACAGTTGGCACCTAAGGACTATATATATCTAGGTGGGTTTTCTGCCATATTTATTGATATGATTTGACTGCTTTCACACCATGTACTCCCAGGTTGCATATGACATATGGAGATTCATTTATTTCCTGGATTTACTAGGCTACTGAAGGCGGAGTTAAACTAGCATCGACAAAACCGCAGTGACCTCGAATAACCAGTAAGAAATCAGGCACAAAATGCCACATAGTCGTTGAAAAATACAATAAAAATGTTGCAAACATAATATTACAGTACATAGTTGTTGCTTCCCAGCTAGTATTTTCTTCGAACGCACTGCAGAATTTGCAGGGTAAGGACTTTGGGCACTATAGAACGCACGACATTAATCTGCAGTCTGCCCCAAAGCTTCTGCAATGAGCGTGAAGCATACCCTAAACATTCTGCACGCAAAGTGTTGCAACAATGTCTCCCAGTCACTTCACAGATTATCTATAGAGCAGTCGTACCATGCGCAATATATCCATTCATGCAGGTGACTGTGGGTCATGGTAATTTGAGGTGCATAGATATTTCTGACACTACTCGTCAACCTACTCCTGACTCTAACAGTAATTTAACTACTAATCCTAACTGTAACTCTAAACCTTAATCTTAAAAGTCATAATCCTGCCCATCGCTATGAATTTTGAGAGTAGAGTATTGTATCCTCTCTCTCTCGAGGTCATATAAGATGGGGATGGTTTGATTTAGAATGTCATTTCATAGCACTCCCTGTAACTGACTGGTTTGTGAAGGTCAACTTTTGAAAGACCCTGACTTTGGCTATGGTATTTTAACCTCTCCTCACTCAACTATTCTTTATTCTATGAGATTCCTCAGAACTCCTCGAAGACTGCAGCATGACTGTGAGGTGTAAAGGATAACAAGACTCTTTATTTCTAACTCTATCAGCATGTCTTGATAAGACTTATTTCTTATATATCGAGTATTTTTATATCAAGGAAAACTCCCGCATTTAAGGTTATTTCCGATAAAGATAGTACTGTTGTCTGCTTTGATACATTGTAGATACCATTAGCTAAAGGTATTACTCATATGTAACGTGTTCGTTTATATATTTCATTTATCTGACGAATAATCAAGAATTTGTCAATATCTTTCCTCCACTGCTGAATTACTTGAGGCACTTGGATTTTGTTCAGAAACTCATGAAATATATCCAGATTAAATAATAATTTTTTTTATTTCTTTTTACTCTGAATGCAGAGCACTAAAAAACAAGCAGTAAACCTGCTAACAAACATTTTACTTGAGCATGGTATACGTAATATTGTTGTTTACTCCACTGTAACAAAATACTTCAAAGTCTACTCTTTGTCGACCGAAAATATCGTCCAATTACATGATTTGAGAAAGATTCTTATGACTTTGAAACAGTATGAAATCAAGATAACTATTTGCACTTCTGATATTCGTGAAGGTAAGTAGCTTTAAACCCTTTTCCGTAGCACATTCATGAAGTTGTTCTATGTGTGAGTTGAGGTTTCATTAAAACTTACTTTATAATTGAACGAATAAATCTTCATATTAACTAAATCTATAACTAGAAACTTCAGGATGTGTCCTTGGACGTAAACATTTCATCATTCCTTCCATAAAACAACAAACGATAATTTATTCCATTATATATACATGTATATATATACCACCTTAAGACTATAAGTTAGACTTATATTGGGTACGTTGGGCGTAGAGTTAGGCAGATTCATCATCGTATTTCCAAAAATCATCCAGCATGGTTAAGCAAGGGACAAACAAGATCTATTCGTAGATCTGTTTTAGCACACCTTGTAGATAGTGAGAATAAAGCTGATGTTAATACATCATTTAAAATTACTTATCGCATTTCTACCAATCTTAATTTTGCTTTACGAGTTTGACTTCTACATGCAGCTGAAGCCATAGAAATCCATCTGAAGAAGTGAAACCTGTGTGTTCGGAAAAAAAATGTACAGCTAATTTCCTTACCTGGTCTATCGTTACATGAATGTATAAACCGGACTACTTTGCGCATGAACCTTTAAAAATTATAATCGTACAAGTTTTTAAAAATTATATTTCTAACTACTTTATATTTAATTATATTGGGTAGACAAAGCAACTTTTTTGTCTTATTCCTTGAGTTTGGAGGGACTTTAAGCTTGTAAATTTTCATAAGCGGTGGTATTTAAAGGGCGCGCGACTGCTAAGTTCACGTAAAACCTTCCCTCTTTCCTAGGCTTGCTATAAGCTGGAATATAATCTAGAGTTTAGGAGTGCATCGGTAGGGAATAGAACCAGTACCATGGTTATGGTTGATGATGAAGCAATTTTCCGTTTTGACGGCTTTATTTTAGCTATATTTTAATTATTTGTAACCTATCAGGTTCTGTGGAGAGACTGCTAATTTCATGAGACCTCCCAAAAAGCCATCTCAACACATGTTGTGTGGTAACCAAAGTATGGTGCATTATTCTGTGGTCTCTGTGGCCATTGTGCCATAACAATGCACCAAGTTCAAGTTGCATGTACGAATTAAACTCCTTCAAACTGCAGAAGCAATGTCAATTCACATATTGAATCCTGAACTCTGCATACAAAAGAAGTTTGTTCAGTCAAGTTGCATGTCTCATCCCCTTTCACCTTAGAAACAACACACAATGCTCATACTGTCTGATTATTTTCCAGTGTTTAGTTGATTCGCTATTAAAAGTAGCACCATTTCACTTTCGGCAGTTTAAAGCTGACATGATTGAAAGACAGTGTTACGTCTGTTTCATTTTTATAGTAATTTAGCCAATCAGTTTTTTTACGGGCATATTTGGGTTTTAGACTTAATGTCTGGTAGCCAAATACCTTTAGACAGAGAAAATTCAGTGCCTTTATTAAGACTTAAGCAAAAACTATGAGTATTTATTCATTTTAAAGACTAAACTAAGTACGTGACGGAAATTTCCAGGCACATTCAACAATATCATGAACTTGACTAGCAAAATGTTTTAGAAAATTCCTCTGACATCTATCATTTAATAACATAGAAGTGTTTCACGAAAGTGGATCATTATTATGTTTCATGAACTGACGTGGCGGTAGAATTCTGATGAAACCGGAAGGCTAGTGGCTTTATTACAAACATTTCGGGAGCACCAAACCTTCGTAAGACTATCGCAAACAATATCTGTGCAAAGTAAAAGTTGTTAAGTAAAACTCTTCCAGAAATTAGACTAAGAATATCTGTAAGGAGGAGAATAAGCTTTCAACTACATCGGTATGATATGATAGATATTAGTTTGCAATGAGAGCTGAAATATTATCAGTTTCTGCCAAGACTCAGTTGTCGAACCTTATCATAAAAAAGTGATAGATAGGTATTTTCAGGCAAATATGTGTTAAAGTTCTGGAAATGTCACATCACTATTGTTAAATTTCAGTTACATGTATTGCAATTCATCATACAGTGTTGATTCTTGTTCCTCTCCAGAATTTTAATATTTTCGTAAATTGTGTCCTTATAGATAATTCTCTAGATCGACCTTGCGTATTCCCACCATTAATAACTATAGACTAGGCTGGTATTCTGCCACCTGCGTCTATCGATTTTTAAAACTTCACTTGTTTTTCTAACCATTTCAGAATATGTTATACCACCCTCACATTCAAAGCTTTTCTACTCCTAGCTGTGTATATGTCCATACACATACACACGTAAAATGGTGTATAGTGTAGGATGTGACGTAAACGCTTGGGAAGTTATGAAGTTTATATTGAAGAATATTTTCTACATTTCCAATAATCTTAAGCTTGGCTGCATAACAGGTTCTACGGATGACCAAATTTAGTCTCTAGCTAAAAACATCCTATTATTTATTTCGCCATTGTATGGTAACTAACTAAATTCTACAACAGTTTAAAATTTTTAAAGGATACCTGTTTTTGATCAGAGCATCCATCAGTATTTTATATTTATCCTTTGTGGCATCAGTTGTACAAACACGCTGAATCCTATTGAATAAGAACTTTACCAAACCTCTCTTATGTTGTAGTGTACAGAACCTGTGAAAATTTAAATACTGCACTGTCCAAGCAGGCTTTCTATGAATTAACTGCTTTATTTGAACCATCTTCTCCCCGACTAATACATATTTCTAAAAAAACACAAGTCGGTTGCGTCTTTCTTCTTCGCATGTAAGACTTATATAATTCCGTACAGAGTTAAGTCATTCAGTAGATGACTCGCATCTTCATGATTATTGCATATCATTAAAATAATCTCATCTACATATATCGTATAGAAAGGCAATTAGGGAATTAAATCAATAAACGAGTTTTCAATATAAGACAGTATAAGCATCCATCAACAAAGGTCCTAATGGACTCCCATAGCAACACCATCTACCTGTCTAAAGTAGTCACCTTCAAATGCGAAATGGACGTTGTTAGTACATAGTAATGCGTGAAAAATGATGATATACTACTTTATGCGGAATCCTATCATAATAATAATAAATTTTTCAAATGAAGGAATGAAAAACAACTAGAAGATATGTAGTCGCAAAGAACATCATATATATACCATCAGAACTGCATCGGGATATACGAGGCTGATAAGATATCAATAATTTCGAATTAAACAATATTGATAATAACAGTAATCCTCAAATATTCCCATTATTAATATTAGAACAAGACATATAAGCGAACAATATTGTTTTCAATCAGATCTTCTTCAGGCTTTACTCTAATTTACATAGATTTATATATAAAATTTTTTTAACCAATGATGATGATTTTGTAGATTAAATAATAATGATAATGATGATAATAGTAATGTCGTAAATGTCTTGAACGTCATTAATAATAATAATAAGGTTTATGCAGGTAGCTATAAGAATAATGAAAGTAGTAATATGTGTATATTTAGACAATTCAATAAATAAATTAGATCAAATCTTAAAAGTTATGTAATACTAAAGGTGAAGTGGACAGATAAACAGAGTTTAAATAAATACCATAA